ATATATATATATATATATATACATTGAGAGAGAGAGAGAGAGAGGTTTATTATCAAGGAAATGGCTTACAATTGTAAAGTCCCCATCCCTAGCGCAAGAGAGAGTTCCTCCCATGTTGGGAGGAACTTTATATTGGGAGCAGACCACACCCTCAAGGAAGCATCCCTTTAACTGATTGTCTGCTTCACTCATCATAGCATTAACTATGCCTGTATTAGGTTTCATCCCATGGGAATAAGCACATTCCAACTACATTTGGAAATCCTGGCCTAGTCGACACAGAAACCTGACAATTATAATGGTTTCAAGATGGAACTTGAATGAACCAGAAATCCAGCTAACTAGGAACTCTGGTCTCAGAGAGGAATCACATTTGTGTTGAAAATATACCTAAACTGTATTAAGATTTGAATCGGTGACTAAATACACAGCTTCAAATTTTTTCTACCCAGATTTACAGCCTCGGAAACCCTATGCAGGGTTGCTATGAATCGGAACTTTAGACACCTCCCCCCTACACACACCCCTCCCCCACCCCTGGTCTAAAGTCCCTAGCCGCTCCATGTCTCCATGTCATAGACTCTGCCTCCATCTCTGGTGTCACTGCTTCTCTGGGTAGGGTCCCGTTCTGCGCTCTTCTCCCTTGATGGTCCCAGGGACCTCTGCTCTTAGACAGCAAAATTAATCACTGCCCTCCTTGCTACAAAACATTTCCAACCCTCACAATCAGTCCTGATAACAGTTACTCACTCTTGTATCACAAGAGTCCTATCTGCATTTCCTTTCATTAGCCCAGCCTAGACAGATTGGATCTACTCAGTAGAGATTCTACCTTTCTCCGTGCCCTTTGGATCTAGGTTCCCTCTTGAAAGCTTGTAGACAATCACTTCTTGCCTTTGTAGCCACCCCCACCCCCACCCTCATTTTGGGTAGCCAATGTCCAAGTTGCTCATCCCTTTCTACTGTGTGTATGGAGGGGGTGGGAATGATCCTTGCTGTAAAGATTTGTTCCCTCTTTTGAGCTACTGCATCTATAGGTATAGATCAAGTTCATCAAATTGTATCAGATTATTCTTTTTTTCCTTTTCTTTCTTTTTCTAGTTGAGCTCTGATCATCCAGTCATTAAAGCCAGGTCAAGTGGGTATTATCTGCAAATGTGCGTGTTCTTGTGCATATGCCCTCTCTTCTTATCAGCTGGACACTTCACTCTCCACTCTAGTCCTCTGTGGCTATGTCACTGACTCTGGGCCCAAGAGTCCCCAGGTCTTGCCACACTGCTGGCCAACCATGTCTCCACCCGGGTTCACAGGAGTCTATTGAACGTTGTAGGGCTTAGCTCGTAGCTTCATTGCTATTTTTCTCTCACTTCCCCTTATCAGTGACAAACATGGTCACCAATCAGAGCATTGAGTCTTAGTCTTAGAAGGGGGTTTACTCTGAGGGGACCCAACCACTTGCCTTGATGTCTCCTGGGTGTAGCTTTATTTCTAAAGACAGAAATGGAAATAACCTGAATTTCCCTTAGTTGGGGAAGAGTTGATTAAGTTCTGTTATCTACATCTCAAATCCAACCCAACCCACTGCCATTGAGTTGATTCCAACTCACAGCTCTTCTATAGCACAGAGTAGAGCTGTTCTGAGACTCTAAATCTTTATGGAAGCAGGCTGTCATGCTTCTCTGTTACCTCCATATCATGGAATGAAGACACATACACACTCTCACCTATTTAAAGGAAGGCCTTGGTTTTATGTAATCTTATTGGCCTGAGGGTAGGAGACACCCTAAATTTATCATTCTTAATTATTAAACAAGATCAGAAGTTCAAACCCACCAGCTTCTCCTTGGAAACCCTATATAGGGTTGCTATGAGTTGCAGCCAATTCAACGGCACTTAACAACAATTATTAAACAGGGGTGTCTTGGTATGTTGCTGGTGTAGGTGTTTACTGGAGTTCTGACCCCAGGTGGGTGGTTCAAACCTAGCAGTCACTCCTTAGAGCCACTATGAGTTGGAACCGACTTGGCGACACTGAACAACAGATTATTAATGATAGTTCATATTGATAAAAGTTGCAGTTCACCATCTCTAATGATGATACTGGTCTGACATTTATTGAGTGCTTAGTGTGTATGTTGCACTAAGTAAGGTAAATTACATTCATATCTTACTCATCTCCCATAGTAACCCTAGAAGAGATTTTATTAATCTGGTTTCACAGATTTATAAACTAAGATTTATAGCAGTTAGTTAATTTGCTGTTCATTGTCGATTTGGGAAGCTTAAATATTTTTTTTTAAGTGTATATAGTAGACTGCATAAAAGTGTTAAGTATATGCCTAACTGTATAAGATAAGTCAAAAAATAATGGTACAAAACCTTTATTTAACAAATATATCAAAAGACATTGTTTCTTGACAAATCTTCCATCTGGGTCTATACACTTTTAAAGGTGATGTGCTTTTCAATTTACACCACATCAAAACACCAGTTGAGGGACTTAAATTGTTTTCATTTTCAAAGTTCTTGGATTTTCAGAACAAAAACAAGTCTGAAGGAGCATGATCAAGATTTAATGGGTAGATGGGGTACGGTCTCCTCAAGAATTTCTACTAGGACAGCCTTCAAAGAATGAACAGATACATTGTTGTGGTGGAAGGGGAAATTCCTCTGTACTGTGTTGCTGGCGTTTTTCTCATCAGTGCAGTTAGTTTTCAATTTCTTAAAACTTCCTGATAAGCACTCATAATTATCCTGTGTTCTTCAAGAAAATCTATAAAATTAGAGTCCCTCAGAAACAGTCACCAGAACCTTCTGTGCTGACCTCTCTGTCGAATTTAAGTGGCCCAGCAGAGTCCCTCAGATTTCAATTTTGATTGAACCTGCACCCTAATGAGAGAACTTGTCTAACATTGTCACTGATCATAGAAACATTTTTATGATCATTTAAACAGTTATTTGGAATAAAACTATGTATGAATTGGAATCTGAGTAGCAATACTTTTTTGTCTTTGTATTTTCACATTTCTGTATTCACTTATAAGGAGCTCTGGTAGCGTAGTAGTTACGAATCAGGTTGCAACCTGCAAAGTCAGCAGTTCAAAACTACCAGCTATTCCATGGGGAAAAAATGAGGCTTTCTGCTCCCATAAAGATTTACAGCCTCAGAAACCCTGTACAGGGTCGCTGTAAGTCAGAATCAACTCCATGACACATAACTACCACCACCACCTATATAACTCCTATCTATGCCCAACATTTCTAGCACCCTAGCAGGCTTCCTTTTGCCCCTCTCTCAGACTGTATCCTGGCATTCGCTCAGCAAAGTTATGGAATGTGTGTTTTTGACTTCCATTCTTGGAGCTAGTGGTGATACGAAGCAAAGGTACGTCAGAAAGTTTGTGAGAAAATGGATTGAAAAGATAATGAAATATTCTAAGAACTTTTTGAAGCCCCCTTGTGCACATACATGTGCGCATGCACACACAGTGTTACAGGATTGCAAATCTACTCATAAAATGAGAAAAGATTAAGCAGAGAATGGCATCAGAGTTTTCCAGGAAGAGGTCTTGAACACTCTGTGTTGTTGCAAAGTATGTTGACTGACAGGGTATTTGTAGCTTTACATAAACCATGGTGTTGTAACTTTAACATTCATCAAAATCACTTGGGTAGTTTTATAGAGTTTCATTAGATCTGGGGTTGGGCCTGAGAATACACATTTCTGACAGCTTTCCTGGTAATGCTGTTGCTGTTGGTCCAGAAATCACACTTTAATTTTATTATTTTGACTATTTAGAGAGCATTTATGAGCTTCCTCATACCACTTACAGATAGATTTCCTCAGAGGAGGGTTTGGCACATAGTTGGGGATGGAATGCCATTCTTTTGCTGTGACTTGGTCACTATTTGTAGCCTCTCCTAAATGCTCATTGCTCACCTTCTTGGGCAGTAGCTAAAGAGTATTTAGCATTATATAGGTGTCCTGCAAAGTCGTTTGAACTGCAAGTTCGGTGGTTCAAGCTCACCAGCTGCTCTTTGGAAACCCTATACAGGGTCGCTATGGGTCGGAATCGACTCGACGGCACTCAACAACAACCACCATTTTTTACAATAAGGAAAAGAAAGAAAACTCTTGTGTAGTTAAACAGTTGTTTGGTGCTTTTCAGTCAGCTCCAACTCCTAGTAGACCCAGAGGCTCCAACTCATAGCGACCCACGCACAACAACACCGACATGCAACATCCACACAATTGTTGTTATGCTCGAGCCCATTCCTGCTGCCACTGTGCCATTCCATTTCATTGGGGGTTTTCTTCTTTTTTGCTGACCCTCCTTTCACTTTACCTAGCATAATACCTTTCTGAAGGGAGTGGTCTTTCCTGATACATATCCAAAGTATGAGAGACAAAGTCTTGCCATCCTGGCCTCTAAGGAGTATTCTGGCTGTATTTCTTGCAACACATGTTTTTTTTTTTAAGCTCTTCTGGTAGTCCGTTTTACTTGGAATATTTTTTCTACACCACCACAATTCAAATATGATGTTAAAAATACCGTGGCTTGGGTTAGGCTCACCTTAGTCCTCAAATTGATAACCTTTGTCTTGTGTAGCATATTTGTCAGGGAGAAATT